TGCTGGCATCCCAAATGGACACTGGTTCGAGTCCTGACTGCTCCACTTCCGATCCAGCTCTCTGCTATGGCCTGGGAAAGCAGAAGAAGATGGCCCAAGTCCTTGGGCCCCTGTAAGCACGTGGGAGGCCTGGGAGAAGCTCCTGACTCCTGGCTTTAGATTGGCGCAGCTCCAGCTGTTGCAGCCAATTGGGGAGTGAACCAGTGGATGGAATTCCTCCCTTTCTCACTCTCTCTGCCTCTCCTTCTCTCTGTGTGTAACTCTGACTTTCAAATAAATAAATAAATCTTTTTTAAAAAAATTATATCATGCTTAGCATGAAAGATGTTGAGAGGGGCTGGCGCTGTGGCACAGCAGATTAAAGCCCTGGCCTGAAGCACCAGCATCCCATATACACACCGGTTCTAGTCCCGGCTGCTCCTCTTCCAGCTCTCTGTTATGGCCTGGGAAAGCAGTGAAAGATGGGCCAAGTCCTTGGGCCCCTGCACCCACATGGGAGACCCGGAAGAAGCTCCTGGCTCCTGGCTTTGGATCGACGCCGCTCCAGCCATTGCAGCCATCTGGGGAGTGAACCAGTGGATGGAAGACTTCTCTCTCTGTCTCTACCTCTCTTTGTAATTCTGCCTTTCACATAAATAAAATAAATCTTAAAAAAAAGGAAAGATGATTGGAGTGAAAAAAAATTTAAAGATTTGTTCCTTTACTTATTTGAAAGGCAGAGAGAGAGAGAGAGAAATATTCCATCTGCTAGTTCATTCCTCAAATGGCTACAAGGGCCAGGACTAATCCAGGCTGATGCCAGGAGCTTCTTCCAAGTCTCCTACATGAGTGGCAGAGACCCAAGTGCTTGGACCACCTTCCACTGCTTTCCCAGGTGCATTAGCAGGGAGCTGGATCAGAAAGTGGAGCAGCCAGGACTTAAAACAGTTGCTCCAATATGAGATGCTGATGTCAGAGGTGGCATCCTAGCCCATGCCTCCACAACAATGGTCTCTGAGTGAAATATTATCAATTTTAAGTTATTTTTTCTAGATTACAACCATTTTTTTTGTAACTAGAAAAATACAAATGGTGTCGCTGAGATTGATGAATGGCACATCTTCTGAATGAGGCACTACTGAAATAAAAAGTCGTCATCCACAGTGCAAATAACCAGGATATCTTTTCAAACATGTATGTATGTATAGGGTATAATGCAATATGATGTATGTATATAATGTAAGAATGATTAAATGAAGTGAATTAAGACATAAGCCACTTCAAGAAATTATTGTCTGTGGTGATAATATGATATTTGAAATTTACTGTTAATTTTTGCATTGCACAGTACATCAATGTTAACTAGTCACCGAGACAAAGAAAAGTGTAGTAGTCTCACTCAGCCACTAGGTGGCATTGCAACCTGGGTGCATCGTGGATGGCGCAGCACCCTAGGGACCGACAGACCAAGTCAGAGGAATTCTTGAAGGTTGTTCCAAGAATTCTATATTTGTGTTCCTAGGTTAACAAGACCAGATTTAACTTTGGACTTTATTCTTTAAACAAATTGTCAGAAGTACTCCTAGTATATTTGTGTAAAGAAAAAACGGTTTTATTTAGAGTAAAAAACTTATTCACTGTAGAAAAGTGTTAAGTTGTAGAAAAGCAGAAAAAATAAATATTACCTGTATATCTACCACGTAGGGAAAAAGAATCGTTTACTAATTTTGCTCTTTCAACATATAGAAACATAAAACGCTTTTATATATTATCAGGCAGTAGTTTTGTGTATATTATTTTCACTGGCAGCAATGATAGTTCGTGCATTCTTTCACATACGTAAATGTTCTCCATCACTGCATATTTTAGTGTTCCCAGAGCCTTTCATCGTGTTGTAGAATCGTATTTAAATAAGTCCTTAGTCTGGGGAAAATAAATGGCTTCTCATTTTTCCAATTGTAAGTAGCCCTTTGATAAACATTGTTGGGGCTACGTTTGACACGTCTGAGATTTTTCTTTTACAATTCTTCCTCCTTTCCCCAAAGCTGCCACCTGAAAGGAAAGGTATGAATCATTTTTATAAATTAAATAAATAATTAATTAATCATTTATAAATATTTCCAAACGGCTTCCTAAATGTTCAACTAAACCAATTTACGGGCAGCAAAATTTCTTGTCATATGTTTTTCCAATATTTTCTCCAGGAATTCATTAGCATTTTAACTTGTTACAATATAGTTTCATGTGTGAAAGCTAATCAAAATTATGAAAATTGATAATAAGGTTAAAAGTGTCATTTTTGCATTAGTGTCGTAAAATTTTTTGAATCACTGAATACTTAGTATGGTGACTAACATTTAAATGGCATTTTATTTTTCTAAAAAATAATTTCCTTGAGGGGCCAGTGTGGACAGCAAGTTCAGCTCCTTGAGACGCTGGCACCCCGTATTAGAGTGCCAGTTTGGGTCCCGGCTGCTCGACTTCTGATTCTGTTCCCTGCTAATGCATCTTGGAAAGCAGCGGAAGATGGCCCAAGTCCTCAGGCCCCTGCACCCATATGGGAGACCCAAATGGAGTTCCTGGGTCTTGGCTTCTGCCTGGCCCAACCTCAGCTGTTGCAGCCATTTGGGGAGGGAACCGGCGGATGAGAGAACTCTGTCTCTCTGCTTTTCAAATAAGTAAATAAATCCTAAAACATAATAATTCCATTGAATCCCTATAATTATGTGAAATAAGTAGACGAAGATAAAAAATGAAATTATGTGGGAAAGCACAGTTAAGACGCAGATAACTGATATCTGCAGTCCCTGTGTGTTCACGTCGCTCCCCGAGGTGAACGTAGTCCTCGGATTGAGCCTTGTGAAAAGAAGCTCAAGGTTTGAAAACATAAGTAAATAAGGGTAACATATCTGTAATGGCTCCCACAGCACCCTACATTTTTCTCTACCTGATGGTTATTGGTTATCATTTACCTTCTTGTGTGTTCTACAGATAGACCACGAATTCCACAAGGCCAACTGTGGGGGCCAAATTTGCTCAGCATTTTAACTCTTGTGTCCACTACAATAGTAGGTGCTGAATAATCACATATTGAATATTTTCATTTATTTTTAATTAATTTATTTTGCATTTGAAAGCCAGAGAGGCACAGACAGACACTGAGAGATTTTCCATCACTCCCCCAACGCCCACAATGGCCAGGACTGGGCCAGGTGGAATGCAGGGGTCAAGAACTCCATTCAGGTCTCCCATGTGGGTGGCAGGAAGCCAAGTACTTGGGCCATTGCCTGCTGCCTACAAGAGTGCATCTTTCCAGAAAAGTAGGATCAGAGTGGAACCTGTGGGGCCTACGCTGTGGTCTAGCAGGTAAAGCCACCTCCTGCAATGCCAGAATCCCATAGAGGTGCCAGTTCGAGACCCAGCTGCTCCACTTCTGATCCAGCTCTCTGCTATGGCCTGGGAAAGCAGTGGAAGATGGTCCAAGTGCTTGGGCCCCTGCACCTGTGTGGGAGACCCGGAAGAAGCTCCTGGCTCCTGGCTTCAGATCAGTGCAGCTCCAGGTATTGCTGCCAACTGGGGAATAAACTAGCGATGGGAGACCTCTCTCTCTCTCTGCCTCTCCTTCTCTCTCTGTGTAACTCTTTAAAATAAATAAACAAATCTAAAAAAAAAAAAAAAGTGGAACTGAGACTCAAACCCAAGCTCTAGGGGATGGGATGCAGGTGTCCCAAGTAGCATCTTAACCACTGCACCAAATATCCACTCCAAGAATACGTTTGTTAAAAAACTTCACCAAAAATAAATTGATATATTCCATAGAAATGCTGCTTTATGCCAATACTAGAAGTTTGATGGCACAGTGTTCCCACTGGTAATAATCATTGCTAATATTTAAGAATCTCTGGGGTTTACTCTGACCCAGACACTGTTCTGAGCTCATTTTTAACCGATTCTAAACAACATAACTAGATAGGCAGTGACTGCCTGCAGAGGAACTCGGGCTCTGAACAGCTCTACTTTCCGCTGACACAGTTCAGACCACACAAATCACAAGACTGTTTTCTAAGGTGACTCAGGAGTAGAATGTTATTATTAATCCTAGAATATTAGGGCTAAGAGGCCGGCCTGTTCCATTCTATAACTTTAGAGACTGGAGATTAAGAATTCTTAACAAAGGTAAGACTCTTCTAGGGACAGGCGTTTGGTGCAGGGGTTAAATCACCCTCTAGGACAGCTGCATGCCATGTTAGAGTGCCTGGGTTCCAGTCCTGGTCCTGCTCCTCACTCCAGCTTCCTGCTAGTGTGCAACCTGCGAGGCAGCAGCTGATTGTTCAAGTACTTGGATTCCTGTCACCCACATGAAAGACTTGAATTCAGTTCCTGGCTCTTGGCTTTGGCTTGGCCCAGCCCTGGCCTTTGCAAGTGTTCAGCATTGAACTAGTTAGCTGATGGGAGCTCTCTGTCGTGTGTGTGTGTGTAACTGTCTCTGCCTCTCAAATAAATATGAATAAATAAATCTTTTAAAAAGAATTTCACATATTGTTTTTCACTAACAAGTGAAACTTCATATGTATATATGTATATATGCACACGCAGGCCATGTTGCTTACAGATTAAAAATATCATATGTATCATACATTTCCAACTTTTAGAAAAGGACAATATTGAAATTTATGTATAAAACAATTTTGAAAGTAATCAGTTTTCTTGATTGAAACACAATATACTGCCTCATTTCTGTTTAGTGAATTATTTTATGCAAAAAACTAAAATATGTAAGAAATAAACTACTTAAAAATTGAACAAGATGTTTTCACAGGGAATATCATGAGGACCAATTATTACTGAGCATCTGCTATACACAGAAAAATGTATCCTTTAGGATACACATGAATGAAAACTACAAAATATAGAAAGCATATTATAAAACCGAAGCTCTTCCACAGATACAATTCTGTTAAAAAGTCACAGCATTCTGTTCTCTGTTTTAATATGAGAATAGTTTTTAATGTATGTTTAAGAATAAATGCTTCTTGGAAACCATTGGGTTGATTCCACTTTTATTTCCACAAATATAAAAGCAGCTTATAACGGTACTGAATTCAAAATGTGAACAAACAAATAGACAAACTTTATTGCACGAAAAAATATTTCACATGAAGTATTGCACATGATCAAATTTATCAGGAAAGACACATCCTTATGATAAGACTGGAATTACTCCAGGCTTGAACAGCGAGGCGTATTTCCTGACAGAGACTTGCCGTGTCACATATTGCACATTCTCCAACTACTTTTATCTGTTTCACAAATGTTCCTCATATTCTTTGCTTTTAACACTTCTCTGCAAAATATTGCATAGAAGGTTTTAAAGGCAGAGAAATATAAACCATTGAAAAATATTCTGCAATTAAGAAAGTAAAATATGTATGTACATAATCAACCCTGTTCTTTTTCTTGGGGAGGAGGGTAGAGCGAGGGGGTGATGAACTGCCAAGTTTCTTTAAAAAGAGAGAAACATTACAAAGCTAATTCCATCAGCATTTGTCCACTTACGATACTCTCTGCGTTTAAAAAATTCATCGGAACTGAACACCTGTCCTACCACTCAGAAGTCCCTCTGTTTACATTCAGTTTGCAATACAAGCCTCTAACTCCTTCAACCAGTGCACGTGCACTGGTGGTCATTCAGCAATAAATAATAACTCAGAACCCAGATGTTTAATTGTCTCTGGATTTAAAATATACGTAAAGTGCATCTGAAAAGTATACAGTCATTCTCATTCTTGTACGTGATGATCAGTCAACCTGTGACGTTCGCATCTCATGGCAGCAAGGGGGCGCGATGCAGACCTTCCCGAAATGTCTGTCCTTTTCCCCACGGTCCTGCTTGGATGAAGATTTCCAAGATGCTGCCAAGTTTTTTCACAAAGTCTTTCTAGAAAACTCCTGGTCATAGAGTAGCATTCCCTTCACACACATTTCCTTTAATTCCATGGCATAATGGTTTATAGTTAAATAAATCTCCTTGTTATTTGGAGGGTTTGCTACAGATCCAGTGTAAGCTCTTGTCACATCCTGTACGGCCGATGCCTGTGCTATTCAGATACGCACAGCTCTCCGACTCTGTAATGTTGAATCTGTCAAATAATAAAGAAACCTAGAATTATTTTCAGTTCATCATCTGCACTGTTATGTGAGAATAAACTTTGCAATGGTGGTGGGCTCTGTTTTCCTTGTGTGTGTGTGTCTATGTGGAACAGTAGGAGGAGGTGGACGATAGACAAGACAAGGTGTCCAATAGACAAGAATCAAAAGTAAATAAGAGTAAAGGATTCCATTCAATTGGTTGGCATGGCAATGATTCACAATCCTTTATGAGTTCATAAGTTCTTCAAAAAATCCTTCCCCAAAATTATATACATCCAACATCATGCATAGCAGTGTGTAGAGATGTACGGACTTTATGCCCCCGATACCATCTGTGAGAATGGAACCATGAGAATTAAAAATCCCTGTACTAAAGACCTGAAGTTTCATTTTTGTTACTGTTTAAGTAGTTATCATAACATTATTAAGAGTGAGCAATTTATTCAACTATGGTTTTCAAATGACAAAGACCAAGATCAAATATATTAAAAATCCCTCAAACTTTAAAATGTGGTTTAACTACATGTAATAAAAGTGAGCCAGTGTTTTTAGTTCTGGAGAAAGTTTTCCACAGAAATTCATAAACAGGCATTGAAAATGTTCTTTATCCTTATTTATTTATTCATATAAATATAAAATTAGGAAACAGTGAGAAGGAATTATTTTCCAACAACCACATCATCACTAAAACAGAACTGAGATTGGGAGTGTTGGGCTATTTTGCATCACCATAGTTATTCTTGGAATATTTCCAAGCTAAGTCTATTACTCATAGTAGACTTCACTAAGAAAATTACTATAAGCATTTATTGTATGAATTCTAAGTGGATACAATAAAAATGATAATAAAGTCTGTCTCTAAAGAAGTCTAGAATTTAAACGTGCAAAAGAAACTGTTTGTTCATAAAGAGCTCAGCCTTCACGTTGGAAGAAGAAAAGGAGGAGAACAAGATGTTTTTAAATGAAGGAAGGAAAGCCAGCCTCAGAGGAAATCCGACTCCCTGAGACGTACCTGTTGCTAAGATCTTTGCCATTAGACCATTTCCATGTCTGGCCAGCCTCGTTTCTCAGCCCAATCCAGTGTCCAGCTCCACCTGCATATCGCTGTAGAAAGCTCTTAAAGAGAGCACAAGGGAGTTGTTAACAAACACCTGGGTAGTTATATAATAAATGGGATTTCTCAAAAGTCGCAATTTGAGTTTTTGTTTTGTTTTGTTTTGTTTTGTTTTAGTTCTAGGGAGGACCAATTCATTTGGATTTCTGATCTTTGAAGCTAAGCAATAGAATCAAATTTGAAAGGCCAAACTGAACTCTCATTTTGATCGCAGATTGATGATACCACTCTGTGGCTAAGGTTTCCTGCATACAAATTAGCTACAAAGTTCCCAAGCAGAAACAGAAAGAAGGCACAGATTAGATACATTAGATCAAACAGCAGTATTTCATGAGATTGTTTGACTCTTACCATGTCCTTTGCAGGATCAATGACTGCAAGAGTAGCACCAAGTTTAGAACAAAAGTTTTGGGCCAGAGTCCAGTTGTATGTTGTAGTGGAAATATAGTAGCATTTCCTCTGGTAACCAATCCAGTCATCTGAGCATGAAGAGACATGGCTCTCTGCGGGTGCTGAGAACTCACACTGGCTCGGACAATTGTATCGGCCCACTGTGAACAGGAAAATGATTTGTTTTAGTAAAAATAGAAACTAAACACCCACAGCATGCAAAACTAGGGATACTGTACTGTGCTGGGTAATAAAATAAAGCACAAAAGTCATGGGGAGAATTCTGGAAAGAGTAAGAGAGCCCACCTTATCTGATCTTCCATGGTGCCCATGACCAGGTGAGATACGGGGAAGGGAAGCCCTTGGGCCATAAGATCAGAAAGTGTGGGGAAAAAAAATTTTTTTAATCCTAAAAATAGTCATTGGACTAGAAAAGATAAAGTGCATTATAAATTCTAACTAAAATTCTGAATCAGAATGCAAGGTGAAGGTATTTGAAGAAGTAATAGCTATGACATTAGATCGGGAGACAAAAAAGAGAGTGTCCTTCAGGAAACCAATTAAAACACACAAAGATCTGGGACTAAGGACCTTTCAGAAAATCACAGAATTTCATATTTGTAAAAGACCAATGAATCTTAGTATAGCGGGATTATTAGATAGGTCACTACTGATGAGGGCTTTCTAGATATAATTTTAAGAATTCCCAACTACCATTCTGTGGTCTTGGAGATAAAAGATAAGATTGACTACTTCCTGATTAATCTATGGTTTTGATATTAATTTTTTCCACAAACACTGAATATGAAGTCTATATTTCTTCTAGCTAGCTGTCTAGTTATTTGGAATTCAAATTAGCCCCTTTCATTCCAGTTGGAAGCATGTGCCTAAATGTAATTTTCTCCTAAATAATACATAAATCATAGTCACTTTTGACATTCATGAAAATATGGCAGCAATCATGCAAGGAACACGTACTTTTACTCAACTTTGATTAGCAAGTTGCTCATGTATGGTCACTGGGATGGCCCTGAAGTAGCAGGAGTTTCTGACTAAAGTGGATGCCTACTGCTTTCAGCTCGGCCTGGTGCTGACAGCCGGAAGCACAGACTCACCTGATAAGGCGATGAGAGCTATAACCAGAATGGTGGTAAAGACCACGTACATTACAGCACACGGGACAGGAACCTGGAGAGACCCTTCGTGACTTGCTGCAAAACGGTAGCTGGCGGCAACATCTGGAAGGGAGGAAACTGAAAGTGAACTCACTTGGATTTCAGACCGGATATTTACCATTCTTGGAGGCATTTACATTTTAAAAATAGCAACATTTTCCTATTTCTTTGTATGACGTCTGTGAGTGAGTTTCCCCAAACTGTGAGTGAATACAGATAGTCCCTTGGTGACTAGAAACAAAACAATTCAGGCATAATACTGAGATCACAAAATAGTTTCTAATTATATGACTTCGGTACTTGTACTTACAACATACAACATACACATTCTGTGGCTGTGAAAATTCTAAGCAAACACCACTGGTTGTTTTAATCAGAATAAGAACATTTACTAAACTCCCAAATGCCCTGGAAGAAATATGAGAAGAACATCCATCCCAGGCACAATTCCTTAATCTGCCTTACTGTTTAATATGTGAATAGCATAAATCTGAGTAATGCAGTAAAGAAAAATCTAGAACTGATATTTAATATCTAAGACTAGAAAGATTAAAAATTTTAAAAACCTGATAGTACTTTTTGGTGAAATTGGTGCAGATGTGTAACAATTAGAATTTTCATTCATTACAAGTAGGATAGTGAGTTGGAAAAATATTTTGGAAACTTTCTTATAAAACTAAATATATAACTACTTATGACCCAGCCTTTTATTCCTATGTGTATCCACAAAGGAAAGGAAAAATATGTTCTCAAAATGCCTTGCATGAGAATGTTCATAGCAACTTTATTCTTTAGAGCCAAATCCTACCTGTAACCCAAATATCCATCAACAGTGGAATAGGTAACAAATTATGGTACAAGGGAAATCTACTCAGCAATTTAAAAGCCTGATACACACAGTGAAATGATTCAATCTCAGGAAAAGAAATGGTGAGTAAAAAAATCAGACCACAAAATATAATATAATGGATATTTGCATTTATATGGCATTCAAAAATAGCTAAGCTTGGTTATGTTGACAGAGATCAGAAAAGTATTTCTCTGTACATGTTTGGGAGAGGTAATTTAACTGGAATGGGATATAGGGGAAATTTCTCAGGTGATGGATATTCAAATGTTGACTGGAGTTGTGGTTATACAATTGCCATAACTCATTAAACTATATACCAATGATCTATACATTCATTGTAAATTATACTTTAGTTAAAAGGACATGTGAATGAAGATTAAAATAACTGAATTTTCCAAAAGAAATTAAAATAACAGAGGAAAGAATAATAGGAGTTTTTTTCCCTTTGCCCTTCTGCATGAAAGTGAAACAAAGTCAAATTTTTCTTTAACCAATAGGAAACATTTCTGTGGAAATATTTAGAATAGGGATATAATGTGAATAACAATTCTTCGCTATTAAGAAACAAACTAGAAGAGTGTCTGAGAAGGATGTCTGTTCTAGAATATAAGGAAATAATTGAAAAAACAAAGTAATTTTGTGATTCAGATTTTGGATTTTGTTTTTTTCAGGATGAGCTAACTGGATTTTAAAAAGGCTCTTGCAATTTCCTATTTTGTTCTCAAATTCCCTGTTACAATTCCCTATTACATTCTCAACAACTAAACTGCAAAATGTCTAGTTTAATGATATTATAATTGACATTGAAAAATAGTCTCAAGTGTAAAAGTATTGTTTGTTTAACATGGATGATTTTCACTACTAAAATTGCATCTATATAGGACATATCTTGAAATCCATGTGTTTTATTCTCCTTACATTTTTCTAAAGTTAAACTAGGTGAAGGGATGTTGCTTTTCCTTGTGGTAATTAGCCATGCAGTGGGTGTCAACATCCACTTTTACTTTTTTCCCAGAATGTTTTTCCCAGCACAGAGCTACACTTGGGTTTTGCAACAGAAGCCTTTACTTCACTCCTTTCTGGTTCTATGTCTCTCAGCTTCTCAGAGCAAATCTTCCTTTTTTCCTTCATGCAGTTATCCCCGGAAGCAGCCTTTGATAGGAAGGGTGGCAAGTTCAGAGCTCTGTCTAGTTTCCTTCTCACCATGTGGGAGTCCATCGTGCTGCGTGGAGTCAACTCAGCAATGGACAGCCCTGGTTCCTCAACAAGACCTAACACATCCAAACAGCTGCTGGTCTCCAGAGCCCAGCCCAGCCAGCCCATCTGGGGAGATGTTTCTCAGATAACACTTTATTTCCATTAGTGAGGGTACAGTTAACCACAATTTGTCACCTAGGTAACAAAACATGCCCCCAATAGCACACTTCTGTTCTGATCACAAGTCTTGTCCATTAATGAAGAAGCTGAAAATAAATCTACAAATTTATTATCTATTTGACCACCCAAGGGTGACACAAAATGATTATTCATACTCAGAAAGCAACTGCAAGGTCAGCATAGACTAACCATTCAACAAAATTGGGATGATCTCTGAAAAAGTCAATTTCTGTATTAGGTCCTTTCAACTGCTGAGTACTCTTATTATTACCACTCTTTTTTTCTTTTATTTCATTTTATTATTCCCTCCCCCTTTATTTTTCAGAGTTCAAATGGGCAAATAAAGTCACAGACTTGATTACCCCAAAATTTATGTGTCGTCTATCTTTCATCTGCACTTGATCTTATGCTTTTAAACAAAGGATTGGGTTATCAAAGTGATTGACGCTTCTCTAAAGTAAACCAACCTAGTACACATGCACTCAGAAAATAATACCTGACTGAAAGATTGCTTTAATTCTCCATCTTTTTACTGGGTAGTCTTGCTTAAAAAAAAAAAAAAAAAAAAAAACTCTAATTCCTACTTCCTAAACACTAGCACTTTAGAAAGGCACCTGATTAACTAGGGGGGAAAAAAGAGATATTACAAAAAAAAAAAAAAAAAAGCCTTATAGAATCAAGGTTTTGAAAAAGCACTGGGAAAAACCTTGGTAATAGGAAATAGAGTAAGTGTGTGGGTGGAGTAAAGAGGAATATTGATAAGATAATTACATTTTGATGAAAAAAAAAAAAAGAGAGAGAGAAGAAAGGTCTGAGTTGTATAGAATTTGAGGCCAGTGATTGAAAGGTGAAACAGAAGGACGAATGGCGGGAAAGAGTCTCATAAAGGCTGTCAGAGCGGGGCCTGTGTCCAGCCTAGTGGTTAAGACAGCAACACCCCACTGAAGCTCTGTCCTGACTCCAGCTTCCTGCCAAGATGGGCCCCAGGCCAAGCCCGGAGGATTCAAGTGATCAGTTCCTGCCATCCATGCGGGCGACCTGGGTTGAATTCCTGGCTCCTGGCTTCTGCCCTTGCCATTGCAGGCATTTGGGGGCGTGACCCAGCTTGCGCTCTCTCTCTCTCTCTCTCTCTCTCTCCAATAAATAAACAGACTAATAATATTTCAAGAAAAGAATACCAACGCAGAAGAATTCCTTTATTCCCTTTTCCTAATAAATTAGCACTGGGTATTGTAAATGTTCAGACACTCACACAGCTATTCTTTTAAAGACCAGAAACCTGCATGTTTCCAGTAACTTGAGGATGCCATCCTATGAACACAGAATAAGGCCCACAGAAAGCAAAGATACAAGAGAAAGAAACCAAGGAAGCAATTGCGCATGGGAAAAGCAGAATTTTCCATAAACAGAGGCATGGAGTGCATGCAGGTGAACAAGGAACAATGATAGGACTGGGCTGGGGTAGGGAACTTTCTAATTAAGTCTAAAATTCAAGATGATGTAAACTGAAACAAAGAAAAAATCTTGAAAGAGCAAAGAGCTGAAATTCACTCTGGCGTCCTTTCATCTCCATGCCCTCCTACCTTCCCACAGATCAGGAGAAACTGACCTCTTCCCAGTTGATCTTTTATGTTGACTAAAATAAAACCTAAGTTCTCGAAAGCACAAGCTTCATTTTCTTCCCCAACAACCATTACACACCCTTTAATTCCTGTATACAGACACAGATTACTAACATAAAAGAAATCAGGTTTGACTTACCTTTTTGATCACTCTCCAGATGCAAAGAGCTGTTTTCTGTTATGGAACAATCTTCAGAATCCATCTTCATTATCAAGGTTCCCCAGGTAATCGCGGGCCAAGTGAATCCACAGGGAGAGCCTTGGCTGGGCTCTTGGCCAGTCTGCGACTCTCTGAGGCGTCTCCGGGTTTATATTCCGTTACGGTGTCTCCACCCCCTTCCTCTTACCTCCTAACGTGCTCAACTGTGTCAGTTCTCTTTAATTTATGCTCCAATGGCCCAGACAATTTACAGTGTGTTGTGGTGGTGAGGTCTGGGTTTTCCCTGCTGTCTGAAATGTGCTTTCTCACAACCGTAGGTGTCACATAAAGAGACAGGGGGATTTTCCCAGAAGCTCACGCGTGTCTCCTGAAGCTTTTAGAAAACACAAATATGTTAGGAGACGGCATGCTCTCAGTAAAGGCTTGAAAGATACAAGAGTCCTATGTTTTACATGGAAATAATTTGGGGAGAAAGAGCCTTAGTATCTTCCTGGAATCCTATTCACTCATTTATTTACATATTTAACAGCTAATATTTGTTGAGCATCGGCTATGCTTCTGCCATTGAAGGTTTATCACTGAGTCAGAAGGCTGAAGTCTTTAGCCTCACAGCTCTACAGTCTGGGCAAGTTCTAGCTGGGATGCCATGAACTGGCCTTCAGAAACGCATCCATCTCCTCCTCCCTGAGGACTCGTTCTTTGAAGGTGCCATTTGGTAAGTTGTTGCGGTAATGCAGGAAACAGAAATCTTGCGGTCTGAAACTTCCTTGCTAGGTTCTAAAACAGTGTCTCTTACACTATCTGTTTCATTTATCTCCTGCTCATTTTCTCATTGTATTATACTGCCATTCAGGCTGCCTTTAGCACAGCTCAGGAAGATCTTATTTCATTTTTTCCCTGTCTTCCAGGTTATTCTGTTCATATACCTCTGAGGCTTCAGGGATTTTCAGTCTGGTTGCTACTAAAATGACATTGCCGTGGTATCAACTTCATCCAGATAAGTTATTTAGGTCAACCCAGGACTGCAGAAGGTCTTTGCATGGTGATTTAAGAGAAGAACTGAAACACCACTTTGGATGATAATTTTGGTATCAAAAATTTTATCATCAACATCACTTCTTTAAAGACATTCTGTTTTCAAAATAAAGCTTTAATGAAAATGTTGTACTAGGCCATAGGCGTTTGCCACAGCAACTTAAGCCCCTTCTTGGAATGCCCGCATCCCATATTACAGTGCCTAGTTTGAGTTCAGGCTCTTCTGCTTCAAATCTAATTTCCTGCCAAGGCACATCTTGGGAGGCGGAAAATAATGGCTCCAATACTTGAGTCCCTACCACTCACACAGGAAACCCACATGGAGTTCTGGGCTCCTGGCTTTGGTCTCCCCAGCCCTGGTTGTTGTGAGCCCTTAAAGAGTGAACTAATGGATGGAAGATCTCTCTGTGTGTGTCAGTCTTTCTGCCTTTCAAATAAAATTAAAATAAACAAATATTTTAAAATTCAAATTGAGTAGTTGGAAAAGAGGAAGGTAAGAAGAAAGGAAGAAAGGGTGGGAGGGAGGGGAAAGAGACAGACAGAAAATGATATGCCTAGGTGGGATGGACATTATCTACAGCAGTAAACTGAATCATCAAAGACACTACTCCAGCTAAGACACAAAGAGGCCAGCATGGGTTCTAAAGGTCCTCTTTGCTTCCATTCTGTTTTCAGGTCAATTTCTTTGTCCTTCATCTACATAGTAGCTACCGGGTGTATTCAATACGTAAGTCATATCATTTTGGTGAGATGTTCAATTATTCCTCCTTCCACCCTTGAAGGCTTCCTACAAGAAGTACCATAAAATCCAAAGATCTTCTCGGAGTTCAGAAGTGTGTGCATGTGACACGGCACCTGGCACCATGCTATGACTTTCCCTATCATCACCCTCTCTGATACTAACCTCCTTACTGTCCCACAGAAATGCCAAGCCCAACATCACTATAGCGTCTCTACATTTCCTCTCAAAGTTTCTTCCCCCATCTCACTGAGTCTCATGTTCTCCCTTTAACTCAGTTCACTCACTGTTCGACTTGCCCAGGGAGATCTTCATCAAGGTATGTAAGGCAGAACCCCACACTCCATGCCTCTGCATACTTCTACGTCACTGTCAGTATCTGGTTGTCTCTCATCTACTTTCCTTCTTGGGAGGCAAGGACTTTGTCTGACTAATGCCCTCCGTGTCTCTAACACCTGTCACAGAAACTGGAAACTAGCATGTATTCAATGTGTACTTATCAAATACAAGAATGAATGAATAAACAATAGTATAGAATTCTGGGGCCGGCGCCGCGGCTCACTAGGCTAATCCTCCGCCTTGCGGCACCGGCACACCGGGTTCTAGTCCGAGTTGGGGCGCCAGATTCTGTCCCGGTTGCCCCTCTTCCAGGCCAGCTCTCTGCTGTGGCCAGGGAGTGCAGTGGAGGATGGCCCAGGTGCTTGGGCCCTGCACCTCATGGGAGACCAGGAAAAGCACCTGGCTCCTGGCTCCTGCCATCAGATCAGCGCAGTGCGCCGGCCGCAGCGCGCCGGCCGCGGCGGCCATTGGAGGGTGAACCAACGGCAAAGGAAGACCTTTCTCTCTCTGTCTCTCTCTCTCACTGTCCACTCTGCCTGTCAAAAAATAAAAAAATAAATAGTATAGAATTCTGAAACTTTTCTTTAAAGATTTATTTATCTTATTTGAAAGTCAGAGTTACAGAGAGGCAGAGGCAGAGAGAGAGAGAGGTCTTCCACTTGCTGGTTCACTCCCCAATTGGCTGCAAAGGCCAGAGCTACACCGATCCTACGGCAGGAGCCAGGAGCTTCTTCTGGGTCTCCCATTCGGGTGCAGCGGCCCAAGGACTTGGGCCATCTTCTACTGCTTCCCCAGGCCATAGCAAAGAGCTGGATCAGAAGTGGAGCAGCTGGGACTTGAACCTGTGCCCACATAGGATGCCGGCACTGCAGGCAGTGGCTCCACCTGCTACACCACAGCACCGGCCCCCTCTGAAACTTCTAAAGCAGGGTGCTACTCAGGGAGAGCGTTTGAGACATACATGACTTGAGGCTGTTGGCAGACAGTCAGGCTCCTTGGATGGTGCTGGTGAGCAACCAAAGAAGAGTTAAGTTTGATGCTTCAAGAGTAAGAACTTATTGCTAACACTTTTGCAGATCTGAGTGAAAGCGGTTTATATCTTTTAGATGCTTATTTCTCTTCCTGGAATTGGGAGACCCAAGCTAACACCCACTCCCCGCCACTGATTTACACACACCTGTTGCAATGAACCTGTGAGATAATACCACCGTTCTCGATCTGCAACCTCACTTGAGTTTCTCCAAGCCTGTGGAGTGAGCAGAAAGACAAAGAAAATCTCACACACACACTGGTGGCTTTTGCCATGCGTCTTTCCACAAGCAAAGAAGGACTTTTCGGCCAGCGCCGCGGCTCACTAGGCTAATCCTCCGCCTTGCGGCGCCGGCACACCGGGTTCTAGTCCCGGTTGGGGCGCCGGATTCTGTCCCGGTTGCCCCTCTTCCAGGCCAGCTCTCTGCTGTGGCCAGGGAGTGCAGTGGAGGATGGCCCAAGTGCTTGGGCCCTGCACCCCATGGGAGACCAGGAGAAGCACCTGGCTCCTGGCTCCTGCCATCGGATCAGCACAGTGCGCCGGCCGCAGCGCGCCGGCCGCGGCGGCCATTGGAGGGTGAACCAACGGCAAAGGAAGACCTTTCTCTCTCTGTCTCTCTCTCTCACTGTCCACTCTGCCTGTCAAAAAATAAAAAAATAAATAGTATAGAATTCTGAAACTTTTCTTTAAAGATTTATTTATCTTATTTGAAAGTCAGAGTTACAGAGAGGCAGAGGCAGAGAGAGAGAGAGGTCTTCCACTTGCTGGTTCACTCCCCAATTGGCTGCAAAGGCCAGAGCTACACCGATCCTACGGCAGGAGCCAGGAGCTTCTTCTGGGTCTCCCATTCGGGTGCAGCGGCCCAAGGACTTGGGCCATCTTCTACTGCTTCCCCAGGCCATAGCAAAGAGCTGGATCAGAAGTGGAGCAGCTGGGACTTGAACCTGTGCCCACATAGGATGCCGGCACTGCAGGCAGTGGCTCCACCTGCTACACCACAGCACCGGCCCCCTCTGAAACTTCTAAAGCAGGGTGCTACTCAGGGAGAGCGTTTGAGACATACATGACTTGAGGCTGTTGGCAGACAGTCAGGCTCCTTGGATGGTGCTGGTGAGCAACCAAAGAAGAGTTAAGTTTGATGCTTCAAGAGTAAGAACTTATTGCTAACACTTTTGCAGATCTGAGTGAAAGCGGTTTATATCTTTTAGATGCTTATTTCTCTTCCTGGAATTGGGAGACCCAAGCTAACACCCACTCCCCGCCACTGATTTACACACACCTGTTGCAATGAACCTGTGAGATAATACCACCGTTCTCGATCTGCAACCTCACTTGAGTTTCTCCAAGCCTGTGGAGTGAGCAGAAAGACAAAGAAAATCTCACACACACACTGGTGGCTTTTGCCATGCGTCTTTCCACAAGCAAAGGACTTTTCAGCACTGCTTTGTTTCTTTTAGAAACTGGTGTTTGCTTTCTGTCTGCCTCATTTTGCTTAAGATCACTCGGTGGTTGCTCCTCCCTGTTCAGAGACCTGAGCCGTGGGAGCTGCACACCAGTCTTCAGCGGTGGCTCGGAGCTCCGGTCTTCAGAGAGAATCGCTGAAGAAGCACAAAGGGCACCTGCCGGCCGCAGACCAGTATGCAGTCTCATGCTGATAGCAGTAAACTCAGGAGCTGGGCTGCCGTCCACTCACCCCAAAATCCCTCCTCAGTCACGGCTTTGTCAGCGGCAGCCTGCTCTTCCTTTTCCATCACCCCAGGATCTGCAGAGGAGAGATCAGGCGTGACCTCCCATGGATGCTCATGGGAGATGGCACCACGCATGCACAGAACCCCCCAGGCCAGCATCCGCCACATCAGACCCACTGTGTGGGCTCCCTTGGTGTTGCATGGGTGGCACTGTCCCGATAACGTGGAGGAGAGTAGCAGGGTCAGCAAGTTCACAAAAGATGCCTCTGTGTGGCCGGCGCTGTGGCTCAGTAGACTAATCCTCTGCCTAGCGGCGCTGGCACACCAGGTTCTAGTCCCAGTTGGGGTGCTGGATTCTGTCCTGGTTGCCCCTCTTCCAGGCCAGCTCTCTGCTGTGGCCCGGGAGTCCAGTGGAGGATGGCCCAAGTGCTTGGGCCCTGCAACCCATGGGAGACCGGAATAAGCACTTTTTTTTTAAGATTTATTTATTTATTTATTTGTTGGTGGGAATGCAAACTGGTAAAGCCACTATGGAAGTCAGTTTGGAAATTCCTCAGAAACCTGAATATAACCCTACCATACAACCCAGCCACCTCACTCCTTGGAATTTACCCAAAGGAAATTAAATTGGCAAATAAGAGTTGCTGCACCTTAATGTTTATTGCAGCTCAATTCACAATAGCTAAGACATGGAATCCACCTAAATGCCCATTAACAGAAGACTGGATACAGAAATTATGGGACATGTACTCTATAGAATCCTATTCAGCAGTAAAAAAATGAAATCTGGTCATTTGCAACAAAATGGAGGAATCTGGAAAACATCATGCTGAGTGAAATAAGCCAGTCCCAAAGGGACAAATATCATATGTTCTCCCTGATCGGTGACAACTAACTATGCACCTAAAAGGAAACCTGTTGAAATGAAATGGACACTATGAGAAACAATGACTTGATCAGCCCTTGTCCTGACTGTCGAGGAACAACTTACTACTTTATTCCTTTTAGTATTTTTTTTTTGTTCTACTTAATACCATTGGTTGAACTCTTTAATTAACACACAACTATTCTTAGGTGTTTAAATTTAACTGAAAAGTGATCCCTGTTAAATATAAGAGTGGGAATAAGAGAGAGAGGGAGATGTACAGTTCGGCACATGCTCAATCAGATTTACTCCTAATGGTAGAGTTAGAAACGTGCCAGGGGATTCCAATTCAATCCCATCAAGGTGGCATGTACCAATGCCATCTCACTAGTCAAAGTGATCAGTTTCAGTTCATAATTGATCATAATGATAGGATTAAGTGTCAAATAAGACTAGTGTCTGCTAATACTAACTGATATAATTAAAAAGGAGAGAATGATCCATCATGGGAAGCGGGATGCACAGCAGACTCATAGAATGGCAGATGTCCAAAACAGCACTCTGGCCTCAGAATCAACCCTTAAGGCATTCGGATCTGGCTAAAAAGTTTAGGAGAGTATTTCAGGTATGGAAAGCCAAGACACTCTGACAAAAAAAAAGCTAAATGAAAGATTTCCGTGAGTGAGATCCCAGCGAAAAGAATGGGGCCATCAAAGAAAGAGGTACCTTTCTCTGAAGGGAAGAGAGAACTTCCACTTTGACTATGACCTTGTCTAAATAAGATCAGAGTTGGCAAACTCAAGAGGCTTCCATAGCCTTGGCAGCTCATGACAAGAGCCTCAGGTGATTACTGACGCCATAAACAAGAGTGTCAATTTGTTAAGTCAACAACAGGAGTCACTGTGCACTTACTCCCCATGTAGGATCTCTGTCCTTAATGTGTTGTACTATGTGAATTAACAGTATAACTAGTACTCAAACAGTACTTTATACTTTGTGTTTCTGTGTGGGTGCAAACTGTTGAAATCTTTACTTAGTATATACTAAATTGATCTTCTGTATATAAAGATAATTGAAAATGAATCTTGATGAAGAATGGGATGGGAGAGGGAGTACAAGATGGGATGGTTGTGGGTGGGAGGGTGGTTATGAGGGGGAAAAGCCACTATAATCCAAAAGTTGTACTTTGGAAATTTATATTTATTAAATAAAAGTTTAAAAAGATTTATTTATTTATTTATTTGAAGGGCAGAGTTACAGAGAGGCAGACACAGAAAGAGAGAGAGAAAAAAAGAGAGAAAGAGAGAAAGAGAAGGAGAGAGAGGGAGAGGTCTTCCACCTGCTGGTTCACTCTCCAAATGGCTGCAATGGCTAGAGCCGAGCCCATCTGAATCCAGGGGCCTGGAGCTTCCTCTAGGTCTCCCACGCAGGTTCAGGGGCCCAAAGACTTGGGCCATCTTCTACTGCTTTCCCAGGCCATAGCAGGGAGCTGGGTCAGAAGTGGAGCAGCCACTAGAACCGGCACCCATATGGGACGCCGGCGCTTCAGGCCAGGGCTTTAATGCACTGTGCCACAGCGCCGGCCCCGAGAAAATGTGAGTTTTATAGGCAGATCATCTTTCATCAGCTTCTCTCCTCCTCTCTATGAGCCAATTACACCGACCTTCATTCCATTCCTCAAAGATGCTAAACCTGTCTTCCTTGTACAGGGCGTGCTGTTTCCTGCTCAGATTTTCATGACTCTTTCCTCTCACTCACATTCATCTCACATATCACCCACTTATCAAACCCTTCCCTGACCACTGTATAAATTACCTCCCATTAGTTCCTAACTACTACCTCACTCCCATGTTTTAGTTTGCAGAATATATCACTATCTAAAATCTTGTAGTTAATCTATTTATATAAACTTTAAAAAACCTTTTTATCTATCTTCTACTACTAGAAAGCAAAGTCTTTAGGGACCAGCATTGCGGCACAGTGGGTTAAAGTAGCTATCCCATCTTGGAGCAATGGTTTGAATCCCAACTGCTCTGCCTCTGATCCAGGTTCCTGCTAACGTGCCTGGGAAGGCAGAAGAAGATGATTCAACTACTTAGGCCCCTGCCATCCACATGGGAGACCTGGATGGAGTTCCTGGCTCCTAGCTTCAGCCTGGACCAGCCCTGGCCATTGTGGTCTTTTGGGGAGTGAACCAGCAGATGGAAGATTCTCTTTCTTTCACTCTTTCTCTTGCTCTCCCTATCTCTTGGCCTGTCAAATGAACAAATAAACATTAAAAGAAAGTCTTTAAGACTAGGGATCTGGGGCCAGCATTGTGATGTAATGGCTTGCTGCCACCTGCAGTGCTGGCATCTCATATGGGCACCAGTTCAAGCCCTGGGTTCTCCACTTCCAATCCAGCTCCCTGTTAATGTGCCTGGGAAAGCCGCAGAGGATGGTCCAAGTCCTTGGGCCCCTGCACCCGTGTGGGAGACTAGAACATAGGCTTATCCCTGTAAGTATTTGCTGGATGATACCTAAAAGAGTCTGTTATGAACAGTGACTCAAACATTTGTTAACTGTGTAGTTTTAGGAACACTATTTAACTCCACTGATCTTTGGCTTTGTTACCTGTAAACTGAAAATATCAACACTCAATCTGTATTTTTATAAAGAAAAATTATGAACTAGAACATCAATTTTCCAGGCTGGTAGTTTAGTGGGTTAAATCACCACCTACGATGCCTGTTCAAGTCCTGGCTGCTCCACTTCCAATCCAGCTCCCTATTAATGGCCTGGGAATGCAGTAGGAGATGGACCCCTGCCACCCACATGGGAAATCTCAAAGAAGCTCCTGACTCCTGGCTTTGGCTTGGCCCAGGCCCTGACCATTGCAACCATCTATGAATTGAACCAGTGGATGGAAGAGGTCTCTCTGTTTCTCTCCTTCTCTAACTGTGACTTTCAAAAAAACAAATCTTTAAAAAAAAAAAAGGTTTAGAAGATCAATTACCTTTATGTTAAAAAAGAAAGAAAATTAATTTTTTACAATAGTATTGGTATCGAACAGGCATTTAATGCAGTGTAAGAGAGCGGAGTTTGATACATGTCATGAAAAGAGAAAGTTCTTCATCTGATGTTACACACTAAGAGATGATAGCAGGAGTCATAGTGTAACTGCTGACGCAGTGTGAAGTGTCTCGTCTGTATGGGACCAGAGAAGATAGAGGAAACTGTTCTCCACCTCAACCTCTTCTGACAGGTTTTACAGCACTAAGACTCCTGCTACGTGCTTACAGTTTCTTGCTCCTTCAGTTACAATCAGGTGAACAGATATTATACATGTAGTTATAAATGTGCATGTATATATAAAAATATTTTATACGTCATACATGATATGTATAGCATTTTTTAATTTTTATTTAGTAAATATAAATTTTCAAAGTACAGTTAATGGATTACAATGGCTCCCCCCCATAATTTCCCTCCCACTCACACCCCTCCCATCTCCCGCTCCCTCTCCCATTCCATTCTTCATCAAGATTCATTTTCAATTATCTTTATATACAGAAGATCAGTTCAGTATATATTAAGTAAAGATTTCATCAGTTTGCACCCACACAGAAACACAAAGTGTAAAATACTGTTTGAGTACTAGTTACAGCATTACTTCACATTGGACAACACACTAAGGACAGATCCCACATGAGAAGTAAGTACACAGTGACTTCTGTTGTTGACTTAACAATTTGACACTCTTGTTTATGGCGTCAGTAATCTCCCTAGGCTCTACTCATGAGTTGCCAAGGCTATGGAAGCCTTTTGAGTTCGCCGACTTCAATCTTATTCTGACAGGGTCGTAGTCAAAGTGGAAGTTCTCTCCTCCCTTCAGAGAAAGGTACCTCCTTCTTTGACGGCCCCATTCTTTCCACTGGGATCTCACTCATAGAGATCTTTCATTTAGGTCTTCCTTTTTTTTTTTTTTTTTTCCCCAGGGTGTCCTGGCTTTCCATGCCTAAAATACTCTCATGGGCTCTTCAGCCATATCCGAATGCCTTAAGGGCTGATTCTGAGGCCAGAGTGCTATTTAGGACATCTGCCATTCTATGAGTTTACTGTATATCCCGCTTCCCATGATGGATTGTTCTCTCCCTTTTTGATTCTATCAGCTAGTATTAGCAGACACTAGACTTGTTTGTGTGATCCCTTTGACTCTTAGACCTATCAGTATGATCAATTGTGAACTGAAATTGATCACTTGGACTAGTGAGATGGCATTGGTACATGCCACCTTGATGGGATTGTATTGGAATCCCCTGGCACGATTCTAACTCCACCATTTGGGGCAAGTCCGATTGAGCATGTCCCAAATTGTACATCTCCTCCCTCTCTTATTCCCACTCTTAAATTTAACAGGGATCACTTTTCAGTTTTAAACACCTAAGAATAATTGTGTATTAATCACAGAGTTCAACCAATAGTACTAGAACAAAACAAAGAGAAAATACTAAAATGGATAAAGTATTACATTGTACATCAACAGTCAGGACAAGAGCTGATCAAGTCACTGTTTCTCATAGTGTCCATTTCACTTCAACAGGTTTCCCCTTTGCTGCTCAGTTAGTTATCGCCAATCAGGGAGAACATATGATATTTGTCCCTTTGGGACTGGCTTAATTCACTTAATTCACTGGCTTAATTAATATATGTATAGCATATATTTTACATATATATCATTGACCAAATTAATAAATGTTACCTAGAAATCTTATTTTAAGAAAGTAAATATCCTGGGGCCAGTGCTGTGGCTTAGTAGGTTAATCATCTGCCTGTGGTGCTAACAACCCATATGGGCGCAGGTTTCAGTCCCAGCTGCTCCACTTCCCAATCCTGCTCCCAGCTGATGGACTGGGAAAGTATGGAATATGGCCCAAGTGCTTGGGGTTCTGCATCCACATGGGAGACCTAGAAGAAGCTTCTGGCTCCTGACTTCAGATCAGCCCAGCTCCAGCTATTGCAGCCATTTGGGGAGTGAACCATCAGATGGAAGACCTCTCTCTCTCTCTCTCCCTCTTCTGTGTCTAACTCTGCCTCTCAAGTAAATAAACAAATCTTTACACACACACACACACACACACACACACAAAGAAAGTAAATGTCCTGGGGCGGGCACTTGGGTTGTCAGTTAAGATGCCGCTTGATACATTCACATTCCACATTAGAGTGCTTGGATTGGAGTCCCAGTTTCACTCCTGACTCCAGCTTCCTGTTAATGCACATCCTAGGAGGTAGCAAGTGATGGCTCCAATGCTTGAGTCTCTGCCACCCACATGGGAAACCTGAATTGAGTTCCAGACTCCTGTCTTTGGCCTGCTCCAGACCCAGCTGTTTAGACATTTGGGGACTAAACCAAAGAATGGGAGATTCTCTCTGCTTCCCCCATCCAATTTCTCCTCTCCCTCTCCCTCTCCTTTTCAAATAAATAAAATTAGTAAATGCAAAAATATTTTAAAGGCTCATTTTAAAATAATAAAGAAAATATCTTTAATCATTATGACAGTGTGACATAGATCAAAATCTATGACCTCTGTTCTGAAGTCATTTTTCTCTGCGTATCTACAGACAGCCAAGCCATCTTGATAAAATCAACACTTGTGTGAATGGGAGAAATGAAAAAGCAGCCAAATGACTAAAACCTTGTGATCGACAAGCCTCCGAACCGTCCACAAGAACCTAAACTTTCCTACTAAATTAATTCTTCTTTCATTAATCTTTCATAACTCTCTTCCTTTTAAGGGTAAGAAACCTCCCTTTGATTTGATAAAGCAATAAATTTCAATTCACAAAGAACAGGGTTTGCCCAACATTGTCCTGGCTGACGCCTGTTATCTGGTGCCATTGGTGAAAAGCACCATCATGTCACTTGCGAAAGTGCCCTCTGAGGTCCCATAAATTATGCTCATAGAGCTAGTCAATGTTTGTTAAAGGAAAGTCTCCCTGCTTATGAAATTCCAAGAACTAGGACAAAGCAAAGATGGGAGAGGAGAGGCACTGTGGAGGAGATTTTGGGCTCAGAGGGTTTTGCATTTGCCCCTCATTCATCCAAATTTGGAAGCAGATTTCCTTTGTGGTCAGCCCTGATGGGTTTCATTTTCTACAGCAAAGAAACAGAAAGAAACCACACCTGTGCAAAGAAACTCTTTGCACATCAAATACACATACAATCTTAGACAGCTTTCTATTTTTTAGAGATTTTTTAGGTGAGTTCATAAATAGTATGTTGAAAAACTAACTGGTATCCGTGGGGCAGAGTTTATCAACATTCCATAGTTCAGTTGAGAACGTTGAGACTTAAAGAAATCAGCAGCTGGACAAATTTGTAAGAAGCAACTCAGGCACCAAAACGCGATGCATCTGTCCTTCATGTGTGACCTTATATGAAGAATCCGGGGGAAGGTGTCAGCAAGGAAATGAAGTCATGCGAGTGAGATGCGAGCAGAGCAGGGCAGGCAGGAAGGGCAGGACATCAGACAGCAGCGGCAGCAGGATGCTGTAGCCTTGCATGTGCGCAGCAACCACAAACTTCCGACCCGAGACAATTTCCGGAGAGACAAACTGCTCGTCACTTCTTTAAATCACCTCTTTTTTTTTTCCTTTCAATGGGTGATTCAGGTTTCTGAATGGCTCTTAATCTTCTTGTCAATCAAAGCTTAAAAAAATAAGCCATCACCCTCTGTTAAATTCACAACAATTATGCAAATAAGTGAGATTTATTTTTAAATCACAGGTGTGTGCGTGTTTCAGATTGGTTACCGTAAAGCGTCAATAAAGTGAGCATGAGTAAGTGGGGGATTTCCACTTCTAAACACTTTCCACCCTGACCTCCTCTTTGAGTGAACTCTGAACTTTCTTATTTTCCTCTTCAGTGGAACATCTCCTGAAACACAAAAACGAGATTGGAAAGTGTGAGCTGGTGCGTTTCTTCTGGCCCTGAGATGGTGGAGATGAAATACGGCATTCATGAATACACAAACGTATAATCTGAAAAGAAAATGGACTGTTTTGAAAACACTACAGATAAAAGAACTAAGCCAAAAATGAGGTGTAATGTGTAATATTTTTGAGGCTGCTCTCAAAGAAACTGCTGTGGAAATGCCAACTGGAACATGTAGGACTCAAGCAGAACAGGGCCAAGGTTACTACGTGATTATAAAATGCAACCAATTGGGGCCAGCGCTGTGGTGTAGCAGGTAAAGCCACCGCCTGTAGTGCCGGCATCCCATGTGGTTGCCAGTTCAAGTCCTGGCTGCTCCACTTGCAATCCAGCTCTTTGCTATGGCCTGGGGAAGCAGTAGAAGATGGCCCAAGTCCTTGGGCCCCTGCACCTGTGTGGGAGACCCGGAAGAAGCTCCTGGCTCCTGGCACAGCTCCAGCCACTCTGGGGAGTGAACCAGCAGATGGAAGATCTCTCTCTCTCTTTCTCTCTCTCTCTCTCTCTCTCTCTCTCTCTCTCTCTGCCTCTCCTCTCTCTGTGTAACTCAGACTTTCAAGCAAAACAAAAAAAAAAAATTGCAATCATTTGCAATGCTTACTGGATTCATAATGAGCTTCAATAGACCTGCTTCTTGCATTCCTGTCAGGATCTTGCACTCACTACTTCTCTAAAGAACACTGTCCAATACCAATTTTGTCACCAAGATTGCATGCACAGAATTGAATTTTAAAGAATGGGTTATGGGGTTTCTAGAGTTGGCTCCAGATAAGGTGCTAAAACTGAAAGACACTAATGACTCTCTTTCCAGTAGTTAAGGACATACTGAGGGTCCACACATGAACGATTTACAGAAACATTGAAGATGTATGCATCAGAGACCCCTAATCAATCACTTCCCAGAAAGAAGGGGCTACACAACCGCAATGCATTCAGACTTTTCTGGAGGACTCTGAGTCAGTCTGTTCCTTAGGAAATGTGGGATTCCCTTGAAAGACAACTTTGTTTTTAATATCTAATATCACCGCCTTGATAAAAAAATTTTTTTGACAGGCAGAGTGGACAGTAAGAGAGAGAGACAGAGAGAAAGGTCTTCTTTTGCCGTTGGTTCACCCTCCAATGGCCGCTGCGGCCGGCGCACCGTGCTGATCCGATGGCAGGAGCCAGGTACCTATCCTGGTCTCCCATGGGGTGCAGGGCCCAAGCACTTGGGCCATCCTCCACTGCACTCCCTGGCCACAGCAGAGAGCTGGCCTGGAAGAGGGGCAACCGGGACAGAATCCGGCGCCCCGACCGGGACTAGAACCCAGGGTGCCAGCGCCGCAAGGCAGAGGATTAGCCTAGTGAGCCGCAGCACCGGCCTGATAAATATTTTTGTAACTGCACTACGTTCTAACGTTTCTACACCCAATCTTCCACCCTCCCTTCTTTTCACACACTATCATATACTGACTCTGTCATCTTTTCCTGCATCTGCCCTGATTCTTCCTGACCGTGCTAGTCCTAAAAAATATGTTATATATTCAATGCTTTAATGGTGTCTGCCCCTTACAAGACCCAAACTAACACATTTTCCTTGGTTTCTCTAATCCAAAAAATTACAGAGATTCTAATTAAAAATTTCACTTACAACCACTCTGTGGTCTGTCCCAAAGCAAACCCTTAAAAACAATGAAAAATGCACCTTCAAACCAGTAGTTTCTCCAAGTTGTGGTTCTGGTATGGGCCTCTGTAACCCATTCCAGGTTCTCACTCCCAGAGGTAAGAATTCAATACGGCGCATAAATGAGGACAAGATTTATTTAATAAGAGAGAGAGAGAGAGAATGAATGTACATTCATGCATGAGTGTGGGCTGCCTCACATGGAGATTCCCATGATGAGTGGGCCAGACCCATGAAGTCTAACAACGGCATGGTCATCTTGGTGTCTCCTCCTTCCTGGTCCTGGTTGAAACACAGGTACATCCTGGGAAGGTGGGCGTATAAAATCAACAGATAAGGGGCAGAACTACAGCATAGGACTGGCAGAAATTCCAGCTCACTTATTCCTACCTAATCTTCCTGCTTAGTCTCCCATATCAGTTCTCTTCTGCAATATGATTGCTATGAATTGTTCTTATTGAAGCTTACATTACTGTTTTATCTAGTCTGTACAGTTTTAATCAATGCACGTGTGAGTCAGGGTATATATGTTCTGGTAGCAGTGAAGTAGGGAACGCCAACATAATGGAAGTAGAAACAGATTCATCGAGGCTGGTGCTGTGGCATAGTGGCTTAAGCTGCATGTCTACAGCGCCATTATCCCATATGGGCACCTGTTCAAGTCCCACTTCCAATCCAGCTCCCTGCTAATGGCCTAGGAAGGGACGGCCCAAGTGCTCAGGTCCCTGCCATCCACCTAAGAGACCCTGGTTAAGCTCCTGGCTTTGACCTGGCCCAGTCCAGGCCGTTGCAGCCACTTGAGGAGTGAACCAGCAGATGGAGGATCTCTCTCTCTCTCTCTCTCTCTCTCTCTCTCTCTCTCTCTCTTCCCCCTGTTACTCTTTCAAATAAATAAATAAATCTATAAAGAAAGAAAGAAAGAAAGATTGATTCATTGTTTCTTAATGTTCTGTTACTCCCTACACACCGATATGTGTCTTCAGGCTGGATCCATGTGTGTTTACTCATCACCTCTAATATCTTTGAACTTGTCTTGCTTCCCGATAACTGCTTCAGGGGCAGTAAGTTGAAAACCCTGTGCAGGGGTGGACATCTGGCCTAGCAGTTAAGATCCTCACATTCCACATACGAGTACCTGGCTTTCATACCCAGCTTCAGCTCCTGATTCCAGATCCTGATTCCAGCTTCCAGCTAATGCAAACCCTGGGAGGCAGCAGTGACGGCTCAAGCAATTGGGTTCTTGACTCTTAAATAGAAGACCTGGATTCAGCTCCCAGCTCCCAACTTTGGCCCTGGCCCAGGTACAGTCACTGGGCACATTTGGGGAGTGAACTAGCAGATAGAAGCACTTTCTTTCCCTCTCTCTCTCATTAAAAACTGTATGTCAAAGAAGAGGTGTGAACTGACTAAAACAGTAAGGAATCACTTTCTCTTGAAAAGAGAAAATCAGAAGTAAAGCATCTGTATCAATACGATGTGCATGGATATACACAGCAGATTTGACTCAACGTGGCTTAAGCATTACTTTCTAGCCATAGGTGCAAGGCGGTAATTTCAGCAGTTTGGGAGTTCAAGAGTCATCTAAATTTCCATATTTCTGTTGCTTCTTAGTTATCATTATTTCCAATAATGGTCACAAAACAGCTGTATTTGTTCCAATGAACACACGCAGCTACAAGAACAACCAGTTAAGAGAATATGTTATATATATATATATATATATATATATATTTATAGTCTGCTGTTGTTGTAGCTGGGGCAACTTTATAAAGAGTTTTATTTAGCTCACAGTCCTATAGACTCACGGTCAAGGTGCCGGCATTGGTTCAGCTCTGGTGAGAATCTCATGAAATGTATGGTGTCACAGTGACTGGAATATGTGGCACACACAGATCACATTTTGAAACAAGAAGTCATTGGAGAATAATTCAAGGTTCACTCTTAAAACAACTGATTCCCAGGGCTGGCGCTGTAGTGCAGCGGGTTAAAGCCCCGGCCTGAAGCACCGGCATCCCATATGGGCACCGGTTCTAGTCCCGGCTGCTCCGCTTCCTATCCGGCTCTCTGCTGTGGCCTGGGAAAGCAGTAAAGGATGGCCCAAGTGCTTGGACCCCTGCACCCACATAGGAGGCCCGGAGGAGACTCCTGGCTCCTGGGTTTGGATCGGCACAGCTCCGGCCGTTGCGGCCATCTGGGGAGTGAACCAGCAGATGGAATACCTCTCTCTCTGTCTCTACCTCTCTCTGTAACTCTGTCTTTAAAAAAAAAAAAACTGATTCCCTTGCATGTTCAGGGGTCCCAGGATGGCAATCTTCACCTCTTCCAAGGACAACTCCCCTAATTATGTAAGGGCCTCCCACTAAGCCCCACCTCTTAAAGGTCCACACCACTTCCCAATATCACCAAACTGAGAACCAAGCCTCCAACACTAGACCTTTGGGAAACATACTCAAACCATGGTCAAACTGAGAGTGAACACTTACAACGTAAAGGCAGGACCCAGCCTCTCATCTGTCTCCTTTACCCCAGGATGTCCTTGCCTGTCCTTTATTAAAAGGATATCAAAATGAGAAAGTGATAAAGCTGACCCAACAAGGTTCTAATCACCACGCTCAAGGAGTCAATTGCAGGGCTGGTGTCCTGGGTGCCAGTTCAAGCCCTGGGTACTCTACTTTCAATCCAGCTCCCTGTTTATTGAAAAATATTTGACAAAATGTACTTTTGGGAGTGGTGTTGTGGTGCACCAGGTTAAGTTGCTGTGTGGGAATCCTGCATTCTCCATTGCAGTGCTTAGGGTCAATTCCCAGCTTTCAATCCAGCTTCCTGCTAATGCTCACCTGGGAAGCAGCAGATAACAGTTCAAGTACTTGGGGACCTACCACTCAAATGGGAGACATGGATGGAGTTCTGGTTCATGAGTTTGACCTGATCCAGTCCTGGTTGTCATGGATATTTGGGAGTGAAGCAGTGGATGTATGAACTCTCTCTCTCTCTCTCTCTCTCTTTCTCTTTCTCTCTCTCTCCCTCCCTCCCTCCCTCCCTTTCAAATAATTTAAAAAAAAAGAAAGAAAGAAAGAATAATCTTTTTACTGATCTTTATATTCAAGTTCTGGAACTTTTTGTCCTTAACTTGTACTTGTCTTAATCTTCTAACAGGAAATTTAAAACCACAGGAAACTTGATTTTTTTAAATGCTCTTGTCCAAACCCCATGAAGATGTTTTCTGTGGTATACAATTTAAAGAAGTGGGTGGGGAATAACAGGATCAGATAAAGAGGGAACA